GAGAGCCAGTGTGACTTCAGAAAGGGCCAAGGAACAGTTGATGTGGTGTTTGCTGCCTGATGACTCCAAGAGAAGTGCCAAGAGCAGAAGAGAGGTCTGTACACAACATTCATCAATCTGACTAAGGCCTTTGATACTATCAGTCTTGAGGGTTTATGGAAAATTATGGCAAAATTTGGGTGCCCAGAGAAATTCATCAGCATTGTACATCAGTTGCACGATCTCATGCTTGCACGGGTTCTAGAGAACAAATGATGGTCTCATGCTTACCTAGTCTCTAATGAAATGAAGCAAGGCTGTGTTCTTGCTCCCATATTTTTAACAGCATTGTTGCCAGCTGCCTTCAAAGATGAAAACAGCAACAAGGTTAGCTGCCACACTGATGGTAAATTATTTAACTGGAAAAGGCTACAAGCCAAGACTAAAGTGGGGACAGAGGCAGTGCATGATTTTTAAATTTTTATTTATTTAGTTTTAGTTTTCAACATTCACTTCCATAAGATTTTGAGTTCCAAATTTTCTTCCCATCTCTCCCCTCCCCCACCCCAAGATGGCATGCAATTTGATATATACATCCTTATTGAACCTATTTTCACATTAGTCATGTTGTAAAGAAGAATCAGAACTAATGGGAAAAAGCCCGAGAAAGAAGAAACAAACAAAAGAAAAAAGAAAAAAAAAGAGAGAGAGCAAATAATGTTTTGATCTACATTCAGACTCCATAGTTCTTTTTCTAGATGTGGACAGCATTTTCATCATGAGTCCTTTGGAGTTGTCTTCGATCCTTGCATTGCTAATAAGAGATGAGTCTATCAAAGTTAGTCATCATACATTGTGGCTGTTACTGTGTACAATGTCCTCTTGGTTCTGCTCATTTCACTCAGCATCAGTTCATTCAAGTCTTTCCAGGCTTTTCTGAAGTCTGCCTGTTCATCATTTCTTATAGCACAATAGTATTCCATTACATTCACATACCACAACTTGTTCAGCCATTGCCCAACTGATGAGCATCCCCTCAATTTCCAATTCTTTGCCACCATAAAAAAGAGCTGCTATAAATACTTTTGTACATGTGGGTCCTTTTCCCATTTGTATGATCTCTTTGGGAGTGCATGATTTTTTGTTCGCAGATGACTGTACACTCAATGCAGCCTCTGAGCTGAGATACAACAAAGTATGGATTGATTCTCTGCTACTTGTGCTAATTTTGGCCTAACAATTAACACCAAGAAAACACAGCTTCTCCACCAGCCAGCACTACACTATCCACATAGGGAACCACTGGTTACAGCAAATGGAGAAATATTGAATGCTGCGGATAAGTTCGCTTACCTTGGCAGTTTACTTCCCAGTGATGTACACACAGAAGATGAGTTTGACTCAGACATTGCAGGAACTAGCTCAGTCTTTGGGAGGCTCCAAAGGAAAGTGTAGGAGAGAAGAGGTATTAGGCTGCTTACAAAACTGAAGGTCTACAGAGCTGTTGTGCTGACCTCATTGTTGGATGCCTGTGAAACCTGGATAGTCAACCAATGCCATGCTAGGAAACAGAATTGCTTTCATTTGAATTGTCTTGGGAAAATTCTGAAGATCACCGGCAGGAAAAAGTACCAAACACTGAGGTCCTTTCTCAGGCCGAACTACCAAGCGTTCAAACTACTGCAGAGAGCACAACTCTGATGAGTTGTTCAAATGACAAATGTATGTTTGCCTGAAAGACTATTTTATAGACAACTTACACGAAACAAGTGCTCACATGGAGGTCTGAAGAAGCAATACAAGGATGCTCTCAAGGTTTCTCTGAAGAACTTTAGAATTTTGTGATATGGTGGATACTGTCAAAGGACTGTCCAGCATCAGAGCAGGTGCTGTGCTCTACGAGTGAAGCAGAATTGCAGTAGCTTAAAAGAAACATGAAATGTACAAATTTAGAGATATCTCCACTCCAAATGTTCATGTGGACTATTTGTGCCCGACGCATGGTAGAGCCTTCTGAGCTCATATTGGTCTGATCAACCACACCTGGACACACTATCCCTTGCCTCCAATATAGTGATGTTATTTTGGTCTTCTTTGAGAATGACAGACAACAACCAACCAAGGAGAAAGGGAATAGAACACACTAGTTCACATGATTGGGGTACACGAGTCAAAGACTATATAACTGGGAGGAAGGGGCAGAAGTAGAAATCACATGAATTAAACATACAGTTTAGTGCAGAAAAATATTAAATTCGACAAGAAAACAGGCAGGAACTGAAAGAAGGGAAGGGTGGATGAAATGAAGGAAGGATTAATCATAAGCAAAGCAAATTCAATTAGGGAGAGTAGACCATGAAGGGGGAATTAAAAAGAAAGAGTAAAAAACCTGTGATTAAGGTCTGGACAAGAACAGAAGCAGTAGAGAAGGAGCAGATCCTTTACTAGTGTTGAACACATTCTTCTTCTCTTACCGCCTCCTTTGTAAAGACGGGTGGTGGCAGGGGAGGAGTGGAGAAAAAAGTGTAAGAGGATAAGATGGAGGAAAATATACAATTAACAGTCATAATCATAAACCAACTCAATTATAAAAAAGAAGAAAATAGAATGGATTAGAAAACAGAATCAGCAATATGCTGTGTACAAGATATACACAAAATAGAAATAAGGGGCAGAGGAAAATCTATTTATTGTGCTTCCAATGATCTTTTTTAAAAAAAAAAAGGCAGCGGTAGTAATCATGATTGCATCCAATAGAGCAGTAAAATAGAAATGATTAGAGAAGATAAACAGGAAAACTATATTATACTTGCAGGTACCATAGACAGCAAATTAATACCAGTACTCAATATAAAGTCTCTGAATGACATAGCATCTAAATACTTAAAGGAATAATTATCAATTTAAAGAGAGAAATGGAGAGTAAAGACTATTATAGTTGGAGTCCTCAACATATCTTTTTCAAACTTGGGCAAATTTAATAAAAAGATAAACTAGAAAGAAGAACCTAAATAGAATTTTTTTAAGTTGGATATGGTAGAGCTCTGGTAATTACTGAGTTGGAATAGAAAGGAATATACAGGAGCAGCTAGGTGGCACAGTGGACAGAGCACTGGCACTGGAGTCAGGAGGACCTGAGTTCAAATCCGGTCTCAGACACATAACACTTATTAGCTGTGTGACCCTGGGCAAGTCACTTAACCCCATTGCCTAGCCAAAAAAAAAGGAGTATATGTATTTTAGCTGTGCAAGGAAGCTTTATAAAAATTGACCAATTATCAGGGCCTGAAAACATCACAAACAAATGTAGAAAAGTGTATATATTAAACACATCCTTCACTGAACACAACACAATTGTTGTTGTTCATCCTTTGTTCTTGAAGAGAACCAATGAAATCATAAGGGTGATGTCTTGAGTTACTCGTGAATTGGACTTAAGTGAGACAGAGAGGCTCAATCATCAGACTCACTCATCTAGAGTCTTCAGAATCCAGTGGTAAGATAAAAGTCAAGATGACTGGTAAGGGCTCACTATATTATATTCAATAAAAAGCCTTTTAAGAAAGGAATGAAATGGGGCAGCTAGGTGGTGCAGTGGATAGAGCAGTGGCCCTGAAATCAGGAGGACCCGAGTTCAAATACAGCCTCAGACCAAACACTTGACACTTATAGCTGTGTGACCCTGGGCAAGTCACTTAACCCCAACTGCCTGAAAATTCAAAAAAATAATAATTTAAAAAATTTTTAAAAAGAAAGGAATGAAATAATTGGAGACTACTAAATAATTTAATCCTTAAGAATTGGTGGTTCAAAGTAAAAATCATAGAATAACTAATTTGTCAAATTAAATAACAACAATAAGACAACATACCAAAACTTTTGGGATATAGCCAAAGTAGTCCTAGGAATAAATTTATTTTAATGAATACTGTTATCAACAAAAAAGAAAAATAATAGATCAATGAATTAGGTATACAACTAAAACAACTAGAAAAGCAACACCTCAAAAATCCAACTAAACACTAAAGCAGAAATTTTGGAAATCAAAGAAAAGATGAATGAAACTGAAAACAAAAACACCATTTAGTTTATAAATAAAATTAAAAGCTGTTTTTTTTTCTGGGGAGGGGGAGAGACTAATCTGATTTTCCTTAAGGGAGTCTAGCTTTGAAAAGAAGGACAGATATAGAATGATATATTGAGATGACAGAGTCTTATGAGGGATTTTTAAGGGTGAGATGACATTTTACACAGCACTTTAAAGTTTATAAAACATTTGTCTCATAACAATTCTCTGCAGTAAGTAGGGCAAATATTATTCCCATTTTACAGACAGGAACAATATACATTTACAAAGTACTATAGTAAGTGGAAAGTTAGATGCTTATCTGGTTAATTCAATGTAGACTGCCAGTAGAATTAAAGTCAATCTAAATTCTTTTTTAAAATAAAATTTTTTGGATTTGAATTATTAATGATAACTGCCTCAATGCTCTGCTTCCTTTTTTCTGTGGAGACATAATTCTAATTGTCATACTAATGTGGGATCCCCAAATTAATCATTCATGCTTCACTATAAGAAAAACAATTAAATTACCCAGATTTAGTAATTATCAGTAATATTATATACATTGTGGGAAAAAGAGATAAATGAAGCAATCTTTCAGTAGTATACTTTATGCCTTATAGAATTTTCTCTATTCTTTCTTCAGATTTACCTTATTTTTGTGTAATAATACAGTTGGATCATTAGTGTTTTTTTAATCCTAGAGAAAATTCTGTGATCCTATTTTTCTCTATACAATATTTTAATCAGCCTGGGTATAAATGGAAGAAATATTATAGCTATTTCCATGTAAAGCTAATCACTGGGGAAATGGCTACTATATATATTTCAGTGTCTAGTTTTGTTAGTGAACTGGTTTAGTGTGACTTGCTTTTTAGATTTTTTTAATATATTGAATTAACATATGAAACACAAAAATAGCAGAGTAATAGCTTCTCACTGTTTTTCAATTTAGATTACAAGAAGAGAAAATGCATTTTCAGCTGGATTTGACGGTTCAACTCTTGCTTACACAAGGACAAGTGGAACTGGAAAATTTCCAATTTCTATTCAATTTCAGAGACTCCATTCTCATTAACAGGGTTATAATTGAAGATATAAATAGCATAATCCGGGTAATTATGAATTTTCAGAAAGAAAAACACAGTAATTGCTATGCAAAATAAGTATAAAGTATATTTTCCTTGCTTAATAGCCACCCATTTTTCCTACTTTCAAAAAACTTCATTGAAATCTTGTTTGTATATCATCCCTGTTTTCATATTATTTCCTTCCCCTGACCTGGTGAAGGATCTTTTGTAACAAAGAATAAGAAAAGGAAAAGGAAATAAGAGCAGTTTTCTACCTACACATCAACCAAATTTAACAAGTATATGCAGTGTTCTTTAGCTCTGTAAAAAGGAGGTATGTTTTCTTCAATTCTTTTCATTCTTGGTCATCATAATTACACAACATTCAGTTTCATTTCTGTGTTCTTTCCATTAAGTGTATACAGTTTTTCTGTTCTAATTAATTGGCTCCACATTAGTTTATAGGTATTCCCATGTTTCTCTGAATTCTTCATACTCATTTCCTACAGAGTAATAACAGTGTTCTCATTTACCACAATTTGTTTAGCCAATTGATGGGCATCTTTTTTGTTTCCAATTCTTTGCTAGCACAAAACAGACTACTATATTTGATTGTATATGGGACCTTTCTTTCTATCTTTGACCTCTTTGAGGTCTCAGAGTCAAAAGGTATGGATATTTTAATTACTTTTTAAAAAAAATTCCAAATTATTTTCTAGAATGGTTAAACCAATTCATAGCTCTACCAACAGCATATTAGCCTGCCTTTCTTTTGCTAGACTGTAGAATGTGGGGAGGGGAGTAATGTGTAGGAAGACTGGAAAGGTAAAAAGTAAAAAGCTAGGTTGCAAAGAGTTTTAAAGAAAATATTTTGCATATTTTATCTCAGAGAGCCATTTGAGTTTATTGAGTAGGGAGGTGACATGGTCATATCTATATTTTAGGGAAATCATTTTGACAGGTGCTTTATCCAGCATTCCCTAAATTCTGGGGTTCTTGCCCCTGACCTTGAGTTTGAACAGCCTTCTCGGAGAGGAAGAAGACAGAATGCAGGCAACTGAAGAGAACCTACTTCCTGAGTGGCTGAGGAGAAGCCATTGTAAGAGTTGATGGAGGCTCATCTGAGTATAACCCTGAAGTGATAGCTATTTCTCTGCCACCAGCAACTACAATTTGGCTCCCCTCTCAGACCACTTTAAGGGTTTCTCTTCTAAAAGCACATTCAAGTTCAAGAACCCAAGTGTCTAGGGAATGGTAAGTGAACTTCCCTATGTTCAAGTAACAACGTGTCTGTCAATATTTTCCAGACAACACTGTTGTGGGTAGGGCCAAAATGCACGTTATATCTATTTGACCATAGAGGCAATAGGAAGCTACTGGAGTTTGAGTAAGGAAGTGATACAGTCCCAAGTGAACTTGAGAAAAACCACTTTGGCAGTTGTATGGGGACATGGATTAGAATGGGGAGAAACTTAAGGCAGGGAGAGCAATTTAGGAGACTACTGCAATAATCTAAGTGAGAGGTGATGAAGGCCAGACGTAGAGTGATGGTTATGTGAATGGAGAGAAGGAAGCATATATGAGAAATGTTGTGGAAATAGAAATTACAGGGTTTTGCAACTGATTTGATATGTGGTATAAGTGACAGTGAATAATTAAGAGGTAATCAGCAAGTGTTTGTTAAATACCTACTATATACCAGGCACTGTGCTAGGAGCTGGAGATAGAATGAAAAAATCCCCACTGACAATGAGCTTACATTCCAATGGGGAAGATACAAATCTACATAAAAATATATATAACATAAATATAAAGTTAATAAATGCAAAATCCACTAAGTACTTAAATACAAGGTAGTTTGGAAGACAGAGAGCTAAGAGTTGGGGACAATCAGGAAAGGTTGACCTCATGGTTGCAAATTTAGGCAACTTGCCTTTAACAGTCACAGGAAAGCTGGAAGAGAAGCTGAGGGGGAGATAAAAATTCTATTTTGGATATGTTGAATTTGAGATGCCTCCAGGACATCTATCCTTTCCCTATGTTCTAATGTAAAATTGAAGTCAGAGTATTCAAATATATGCTAATTCAATTTAGAAGTTCTTAATTTGGATTTCTTTTTGAATTTCTCCCCTTCTTTATCTTCTGAAACATAATGACATATGGGCTAAAATTAACTTCATACTGGTCATTTCCATCATGAGCACTCTAATACAACATGACCAAATATACCCTGAAATGTTTCTTTGGACACGTAATTAAGCCAACTCTGTGAACTTCTTTATTTTCCTCTTCAAGAATAACTTGTGATCTATCCCTTCTACTTAGCTACAATTTCCTTATCTTCTGATTTCATTTATAGTGAGACTTCTGATTGACATAATTCAACATACTGTTCACTTGCTGATCACTTGTCAGAGATCTCACATTTAGGGAACCAGTAGCTAAGTTAATGATCTTTTTCCTCCCCACCACTCTGTCCAAAGCAGGAACAGCATTAAGAATTATTTTGTAATTTTCTTTCTTTAATGGATTACCATGACTAAGATATTAGTCAACTTTTGATGATAAATTTCCTTATATTTAGCCAAGCTGGTCCCCCCAAAAGAAGACAGAATCAGTTGCTGGGGAAAATATTTGAACACTTTCCAGAATAGTAGAGCTTCTCAGAGCTTGTGCTCTATTGACATATCGTTCAAGTATTTACGGTTACCCATTTGCCTCAATGAGGCATCTGGGTAAGGTTGTTCTTAATCTGAGCATTTAGCATAGGGAAGGTGGATGACCACTGGTGACCCAGGAGATGTACTCTAAAAATGCGCAAGAGAGGAAAAAGATTTCACTTTTCCACCAGCCTGAAACTCTATTTTTGTCCCTAACAATTAAATTTATTTACCCAAAAATGTCTTTTCTCTGATCTTAGTTCTTTTTTTGTATTTTCTGTTGATTTGTTCCTGTTCTAAATTCTTTTGATATAGCTTCAGGTTATTCATTTTTTTTTTCTCTTTCCATCTTATTTAAGTACTATGAATTTCCCTCTGCATACTCATTTGGATGAATCTCATAGGCTTTGAAACATAACATCATCTATTATCATTATTTTTGTGTATTTTTTGTAATTTTCTCTTTTTATCCGCTGTCATTCACAACCATAGTCACTTTTCAGTTCCCTTATACCTCCCTTTCATCAAATCATTACTTGATCCACAGTGTGGGATAGTAATTAGAGAGCTAGCCTTGGAGCTAAGAAGACCTGTATTTCAAATTTTCCCTCTGACACATACTGACTGTAAGACCTTGAGCAAATTAATGTCTTAAGAGTCCTAGGCAATTTTCTATGACTATAAGTTGCAGAGGGTGCTGACCTGTATAGCGTTTCCTCAGAAGCTCTGAGAAGCTCCCTATATCAATGAAATCACAGGTCCAGTTCCAACTCTTAGTTGCAATATGATTTGCATATTTAGTGAACAGAATTTCTGCCTTTCTATGTTTATCCATGTTTTCTTGAATTTTTGTGTAACATAAGTACTTAGGGAACAAAAAGGCATAGTCTTTCCTTTCCCATTAAATTCCTTCTGCAAATCTGTTACATCTACCTTGTTTAATACTTTAATTGCGTAATTTTGTTACATATATTATAGAGTGAAAATAGGATGCTAAAGTTATTCTCAATTTCTTAAAGTCAATTTTTCTTCCATGACTATGGTTTTCTTTTACAAATTTTGCTATAGAAGTATTGTATGTATACTTAAGGTTGATACATTCTTATTTGGCATAGACCAATTTAGTAATAAAATATCTGTGTTAATCATCTTTAACACTTTCTGGTTGAATTAAATTTTGGCCCATATCATTAATATCTCTCCTGCATTCTGTAGTTTGGCAATAGCATGGTAATTTTAGAACACACTTTCATTTTGACCATATTTGTATTTCTTAATTTTAATTTAATTTTTCTCAATTTTCCTTTTTTAATGTTTACTCTTAAGAGTTTGTTTTTTATTTAGTGACTTTTGCATTTTGTTGGTAGGTTCAATTCATTTGCATTTAGAATTGTAATTGTTAGGTTTGTTCTTCAGTCATTCTTTTGGAAGATAAAAATGCATTTTCTTATGGTAATTATTATTAACCCCAACTTAATAAAGCCACTCTAAATAAATTTCTTCTCACATTATTAATTATGTTGTTGTTCAGTCTTTTCAGTCGTGTCCAACTCTTTTGTGACCCCATTTGGGGTTTTCTTGGCAAAGATACTGGAGTGGTTTGCCATTTCCTTCTCCCGCTCATTTTACAAATGAGGAAACTGAAGCAAACAGGTTTAAAATAAGTGACTTGCCCAGGGTCACACAACTAGTAAGTGTCTGAGGCCAAATATGAACTCAGGAAGATGGGTCTTCTTGGCTTCACTCCCTGTATTCTATCCATTGAGCCACTCCCTTTATCAAAGAATAGGAGCTTTGGTTTGGAATTATGTTCTTTCTTCTCCTTTTAAAAAACTTTTAGTGATTTAGCTCCCCATCCAAAAAATGAAAAATGCTCTGAGAATTCTCATGCTTTTAAACAACTATTTGACATCGATTATTTTAAATACTTCTCTTTTTGGCTGGGATGCTTTTTTGTTCTATGAAGACTTCCTTGAAGTAGGTATGTCTCTCTGTAAATCTGCAAAGTCTGTTTGTTTCTCAAGTATCTTCTCTCCTGCCATGATAAATCAAGCCTAATTTTGCTGAGTACATCATTCTGGATCCATGAGCTATGCTTCTTTGTAAATTCTATATTCCAATTTCTTCAGTACTCCTTGAAAAGTCTTTTTATATGATCCTAACTGTTGTTCCTTGTTAAGTGATTTTTAAACTACTTCTAGCAATTTGTATTATTTTTCCCCACATTATAATGTTAGATAATCATAAAGTGTCTAGGAGAGTTGAATCCTGAGTCCTTCCTTTTCAGCATCCTGTGGCTACTGTTTATATTTTGCTGCCTGTTTTCTTAATTCTAGAATTTTTTTCTTTAATGATTTCATAAATTATTCTGTCCATCTTCTTTTGTTTTTCTATTTCTCTTAGATGTAACTAATCCAAAGACTTGCCATCTGTCTTCTAGGTCTTTGATTCTGTGGTTTTCCAATAACTTAGACAATTTGGTGATTTTTAAAAGTTATTCTGCTTTGGGTATAATTTAGTTTTCTGCTGTAGGAAATCTGTTCATTGCTTCTGTGGACTTCCTCAGATTTTCTATCGTATTTTTTTTGGTCACATTCTTAGCATCTTTTAATCTTGCTTGAATTCCATGTGTATTTTTTTTTACTTCCTATAACATCTTTTATTTGAGCTTACATTTTAAAAATAATACTGATTCTTTCATTTCTTTGAATATGACATTTGCTAAATGGAGGACTGCTCTCAGGATATCTTACATGATCTCTTTTTCATTGCTTCTGATACTTTAGCTTATTCACCTGTTCTAGTATATTATTAATTAAATCAGCATTCTTTGACCTACTCATTTTAAAATGTTGGTTGTTTTTTAAAGTCATGTTTTTCTCCTCCATAGAATTTCTGCTAGGTTTTTTTTGGGGGGGGTGTCTTTTTGTGGCATATGTGAGAAGCCTGGCTTCCTCTTCAATTCTTTTACTCTACCTTCCCTCAAGTTGTTTTATATATGTGCCCCTCTGGGTCAGTTTATTTGGGATGATAAGAAGATATGGTATGCCCTTATGCTTTCAGGAAAGCGAGGACTATTCCAAGTCATTAAGATGCAAGCTTTCTTTCCTCAAATTATTCTTTCTGTCACTCAACTAGAGGCAAGGTTTCATGTACTTTCAGGAAAACTGAGTTTAATTTTATATGAGAATTTTTTTCTAAATATATGACAACAATTATAGGACTAGTATTGATGGCTGGAGGTGGAGTTGGTAGAACCATCAAAAAAGTGTTCCATTTCTGTCTGGAAGGTCTTCACTACTTCTTATGAAAGCTATTCAAGAATTCCGTCCCTGGTCCTACTTGCCCTCCCTCTACCTTACCTTCTGTTTGCCATTCCTTTTCCTCTATCTTTTTTTCTCAGGTTGGGGTATAAGAAAGGGTGAGATGATATCCTAAGTTGGCCTAGAAAGGAATAGTTTTCGATGTATGATCCTGATTAGAGAAACTAAGATACTGTGAATAATGTGAACTCTCAGGGAAAATTTTCGTATTTTGTATTTCATTTTTTCTATTCCAAACCCAACAGGGGTCTACTGTATGACTGAAAGCAATAGTACAAATGTACTGCAATACTCTTTCTGAGGGGATCTGTTTTTGTAATGATTACTGCATTGTAATATTGGTGAGGTCTTTTTTGCAAAAAGTTACATTTTTAAAGTTCCACAACATTTCTATGATCTGCAGAAATATGTAAGCTAAATATTGGAATATTTTTTTGGTTGTTGTTGTTTTTTACAAGTCCCAAGGTCAAAAGAAAGTTACCAGAATGGTAGAAAGTAAGGATTTCCACAAAGGAATATTTCAGATTGAATGGGAACATAAGAAAATGGAGATGGAAATGGAAGATTTAAACCAAAAGGCTTGGGATATTCAGATGCTGTTTCTTTCAAGAGATCGTCAAAAGGTAATTACTCTTTTGCACATATGGTATTTTTCACCATCCACGTGGATCCAGTAGCATTTTACAAAAAAATCTTCTGATTATATAATTTCATTCTACAAATCCCTGGACTACAGGATACAGATGATAATATGAACAATTAAATGTAAACCATAATCACTACATACACATCTTAACACCTAAAGTAGGTAGAAATATGTCATGGCAAATTATCTTTAGATTCAAACGACAATGACACATATCAATAAGCATTAAGTGTCTACTATGTGCCAAGCACAGGTAGGCCCCAAAGATACAAAGAGGGAAGTCAAACAATCTCTGCCTGCAAAGAACTCACATTCAGGAGAATCAGGATATAAATACATATCCTGCTATACAAAATATGTGCCAAATAGATACAATTTGATGGCACCAATAGCTAGGGAGATCAGAAAGATCTCATATAGGAGAGGACACTTGAGCAGGATCATGAGGGAAACTAAGGATTCTAAGAGGCTGAAGTGAGGAGGAAGTGCATTCTAACCATGGTAGGACAAGCCAGTGCAATGACTTAGAGAGAGGAAATATAGTACTATATATGAGGAACAAGAAAGAGGTTAAGTTGAATGTGCCAGAAGGAATGTAAAGAAGAGTAATGCATAAGGAAGTTAGAAAAGTACATAGAGGTAGGTTGGTTGTGAAATAATTTAAATGCCATAGAGAATTTATAATTTATCCTAAAGGTAATAGGGAGACATTGGAGTTTATTGAGAAGAGATATGACATGGTCAGACCTGAACTTTAGGAAAATTACTCTGGCAGCTCTGTGGAAGATAGAAAACAGAAGTGGGAAAGACTTGAGGCACAGACATCATGGATTATAAGCCAATAAAGTAAACAGGAGGAAATCCAGGAGATAACAGTGTCAACAAAATCTCAGAAAGGAGATCATATCTGGGAGGAAAAGGTAGTCAACACTGCCAAAGACCGTACAAAGGTTACGAAGGATGCGGATTCCAAAAAAAGTCATCAGATTTGTTAATTAAGAGTCCAGTGGTAACTTTGGAGCCAAAAGTCTCAGTTAAGTGATAAAATCAGAAGTTATATTGATAGTGCAAGTGGTTGAGAAATGAAGGAAAGGAAGTGGAGGTATCCACTGTTGATAGCTTCTTCTAGGAGTTTGGTTCAGAAAAGGAGAGACAAGGAATAATAACTAGAGAGGGTGCTAATAAATCTTTTTTAAGCATGAGAAAGCCTTGGGCATGTTTTTAGGTAGCAGAAAATGAACCAGTAAAAACGGGGAAAGGAAGAAGGATGATTGTAGGGGCAATGTGAGGGAGAAGAAAGGAAAGGATGGGATCAAGGAAACAAATATAAGCATTGTCCTTGGCAAAGAGAAGTGACATCTCATCACTAGACACCGGAATAAAGGAGGAGAGAATGAGGATAATGTAAGAGCTTATAAAATGCAAAGCAAAAAAAAAAAGGGAGAAATAAATGGCCTCTATTTTCTCAGTAGATTATGAGTTAAGGCTCTCAGATGAGAATATTGCAATAGAATAGAATATTCTAATAGAATATTGCAGAGGGAAGAGAAGGTACAGTCATTTTGGGGAACTGGGTAGAGAATCAATTAAGGAGAAGTAGAAGGGCTTCCTTGATGCAATGAGACCAAGCTGAAATTAGATAACACAAATTTGTATCGGACTTGGTTCAGTTCAGATGTGTGACTTTCTCCAGCTCTATTCAGCAACATGTGATTGATTAGGAGTAAAAAGGACAATGTTGGGAGTAATACAAGATTAGGGTTTGGCAAAGTGTGAGCAGCAATAGGACAAGGGAGATAAAAATTTGAGAGCAGAAGATAGAGAAGGGTTAAGCTGATTAACTAAAGGGTGTGTATTGGAAAGAGAATAAATTGAAAATAGAGCAGGGGTGATGACTCGGAAAAGTACTGACCCATGAAGGAATTAGAGATCATAATGAGGACAAAGAATAGGTTTAGGAAGAGAGTAAGGCATAGGAAAAGACTGAATGATAAAAATTTATAATATACTAATTACATAAATAACAGACTATTAACTAGTTAAATTGGTGATTTAGCAATGATATATATAAGTAAAATAAGTGAAACACTAGTGATTTTTTTACGAGTCAAAAAAACAAAATAATGTGAGGCTTTCATGTATATTAATCTCATCTTTCTTCCCACTAGTTCCTAAAAGAACCAAACTATGAGCTCCTGATTGGCTACCAAATTGCTATGATGGAGCAGAATATGGCTATTATAGATAAGGTAAGAATCAACCTTATTAGTCATTATGTTATAGTTTCAGAGCATTGCCTTATTCCTCTTAGAGAACTGCCTACGTTGCTAAGGACTTTAACTTGCCCAGGGTAACATAATATGTGTCAGAGGTAGGACATGTCCCCGACCAGGTCTTGACTCTGAGTCCGGCTCTCCGTCTACTATTCCACAGTACAACTCTCTAAGATTGTAAGCGGCAGGGAAATGCCAGCTGGCATCAGTAGCAGGAGTTTCTTTATAAGGGAGTTCCCTATGTCAATGAAACCACAGGTTCATAACTTCTATCCCAAATCCATCTAATATCATAAGTTCTAAAATGTTTCAGGGTAAAATTAATGGTTTTAATTAGCTGAAATTTCAATTCATGTCAGCAAATATTTATTAAATATTTTGTGCATAAAGTTCTGTCTTAGGTACTAGGGAGACAAGAATGGGGGGAAAAACCCAAATATCCTTCAAGGAGATTTTATACTTACTCCACTGGGAATAAGGTAGGAGTAGGCAATATAAAATATATACAGAAAATAACAAGGTAATTTGAAGAGAGAGTGCCAACAACTACAAAGAGAGTAAGGCTTCATGGAAGAAAAAACAATTAAATGGAGCCTTGAATAGAAGGATTCATAGAGGAGATTTAAAAAAAAAAGAGTACATTCTAGGCATGGAAGATAACTTACACAAATTGATAGAAGCAAGAGATGGAATATCAATTTTGTCAAATAGTCCAATTCGGCTAGAATGCAGAGTGTGTGTGAAAGGAATTAATTTGAAGTAGGGTTGGAGAGATACGTGAGCGCCAGATTGTAGAGTTCCATAAATGCCAAACTGAGGAGTTCATATTTTATCCTAGAAGCAATAAGGAAGTCCTGATGGTTCTTAAGTATGGGAATGACATCATTAGGCCTTTGCCTAAGGAAGATTATTTTGACCCCTCTTGTACTGGAGAATACAGGACTGAAAACAGGACCCCTCAAGAGGAGATTAATCTGAATGACAGGGAGAACGGCAGCATGTTCCACAAAAATAGAGAAGTTTGAATCCATGGGAGCACATAGGAAGACCAAAAGAGAAATGTAGAAAGAGAAGATAAGAGGATCCAGGCCAGAACCTTAGGGGACACCTTAGGAGGCAGTGGG